CCCCCTCTCTCTCTCTCTCTCTCTCTCTCTCTCTCTCTCTCTCTTTCACACACTCTCTCTCCATCTCTCTCTCTCTCTCTCTCAGATCATTACAACTGCTGTCTCTCGTCGTGTGCTGGATAACCTGGATAGGTTTCTCTCTTGTGGGTCACGGCTGGTTCATTTATCATGTTGTTCCTGTTTCCGTTTACAGTGATTTATGTCTTTTAAACACACTTTACACTGTTCACAGACACACAGGTTCTAGTTCAGATTGAGATTTATGTGTTGGTGATCTAATTCTACATTAAGCATCTCTATCAGACACGTGTAACAGAGTTGAGCTGATAAAACACACGCATGAACCAGGAATGACACGCGTGTTTCTCCACTGTGTGTGTTAGAAAGCTCAAGCAGCAATATGTCTGCACACGATAAAGCGTGAGGTAAAACTACAGATTTACTAAAAATGGCAAAGGTTTTCGTCACAACATGACCCTAATTCTTTTATTTATTTAGCTATTTTTCAGCGAAGCTGAGGTTTTATCTTGCATTTGTTATTTTCCACAATCCTTCACTCCTATAATGTGCTGGCTTTGTTTTTTCTTTTTCTAACAAAAAACTAATACAACTTTTTTGTTAACTAAAATAAGGCATAAGAATTAGATTAAATTCTTGCCTTTAAATTGAATTGAAACAGAAATAAAAACATACATGAATTAAATTTAATTTTTGTATTTAGTTTGTGTTTGCACTTAAAGAGCATTAAAGATTTATATTTATATTTAGGTTTATATTAACTTGGATTTGCAATTTGTAGCCAATCACAGACAAGTATGTGAAATAAATTTATCTCAATTATATAAGCATGTTACATTGCTTATGTAAATAATAAATAATATATTAGTTATCTATATATTTAATTTAATAAGTAGTACATTAACATCTCAGTTCAAATCTTTATTCAGTAAGTCAACTGAAGTACTACTTAGAGGTTAATCATTAGGGGTTAAAAGAAAAATGACTAAAATAAAAATAAATAATATCTAAATAAATAATAAATATCAAAATAAAAACTGAATAATGAAATAAACTGAACTTACGTTTCCATATATTGAATCGACCAAGCTGCAAAAATATTTTTTAAATGCTGACTGTCAATTTTATATTTCTCAGGAATTTTGAGAGGAGAATCTTAGACAAAGTTGATGTTTAAATGAAATATTGCTGGGAAGTGTGTTTCCGGAGCCATGAAAGAGCAACCTGAGCAATAAAATGTTCTTCTCGGGATTTATAAGATCTTCACATTTAGTGCCGTGAGACGAGACCATAAAAAAGACAATCGTAAGTTACAGCCTTGGTTTTTATTGTGACTTTAATATGCGCTCCTGATTTGGGCAGGTTATGATAAGGTCTCAATCAGCTTCAAACGTGTGATAAAAACCTGAACGCACGCAGAAGATCAGCTGTAGGTCAACGCTATTTCTGTCGTCTTGAAGCTGCCAATCTTAGTTTCTGTGTGTTTATGCAGGGTGAAGGACTGACCTCGCCTGTAACACACACACTCACTCACACACACACACACACACACACACACTCTCTTTCTGTGTGTGTGTGTGTGTGTGTGAGAGTGAGTGAGTCTCTCTCTCTTTCCGTGTGTGTGCGTGTGTGAATCTCTAAATGTCATTGCATTGCTGCTCTTGTTTGGTATTTTAACAGCAATTAAGTCTAAAGCAATTAAGAAAAGTAGTGGCACTGCATACAAACTGTATTTAAAATAAATCAAATAAAACAAAATAATAAAGAGAGAGAGAGAGAGAATAGAAATACATATGTGCAATATGTTAATTATAGCAATATGGAACAAAATTATAAATGTCTAAATGCCATTTTTATAGGTATTTTAGCAGCAATTAAGTAAAAAAAACAAACAAAAATGTAAATTATTTCACTATAGGAACATTATACAGTATATGTCTGAATGCCATTGCATTACTGTTCTCTTTTTTATTGGTATTATAACAGCAATTAAAACAGTTACGAACAATAGTGGCATTGCATACAAACCATAAAAAATAAATAAAACTAATTATTAAGGGCAAAAGTGGCATTGCATACAAACCATATACATAATACAATATAAGGCAAGATAAGATAAGGTAATAAAACAGGAAATAAAACAATAATATATTAAATTAAATTAAATTTGAAAATTATAATTAGATGATTAAATCATTATGTTCTTTAAAATAAAAGACACTTGCTTTGATCATTTGTAGCTTGATCCAATAACATTTAGATATTTTTAAGAGCGACTAAATAACATTTTTAAAATAACTTCCCAATAACTTTTATGGGACCGCAGTATGTTCATGCACTGGGAAATTAAATTATTTCTGCAGTATAAAACTGCACAAGAGATGCAAATATAATGTGGCAAATCGCAAAAGTAATTTCACCTTGCCAATAAAATTGATCAGAAATCTAATTCTGACTGATGCATTTGTGCTTGAGGAACAACAGCTCCCTCTATGGGCGCGAGCTCAAAAATACATCAAACAAGCCTGTTTTCAGTTCACTTCGGTTTCTTGTGCTAGTTCAGTTCTTCAGTTTTAAACCACAGCAGTCTCGCGCGGGGCGTTCTGTCCTTCAGCGCGAGCCTCTGTCCGTTTAGATAATATTGCACTCAAGGGCTCCATCACAGCCAAGGTCAGGCTGGCATATTTAATCAGAGATAACACAAAATATTAAACATGGCCGCCAATCAGCTAATCAAGTAATGATGCTCAGGCCTCAGAGGAAGGTCAGTGGAGTAAGCTAATTAGCAGGACACATCTGAACCATTCGATCAAGTTAATGCATGGTGCGTACACAGATGTGCATGCACTTTTAATGCATCTTTAAGACAGTTTTAGGAAATTGCTCCATGGCCTGTGTGTTGCATGCTAAATAAACTTTCTGAATCGTGTGGCGAGTGCTTCGAGTGTCTCTGGAACAGCTTTACGGCGCAGCAGTTATATGTCAGTGACGGATGCGTGACATTTTGTGTTTCTCCGCAGGAGTCCGCGGGAGGCCTTACAAATTATTCGCCGTTATGACGCCTCGTCAAGTGCGCGGGAAAGCTGCCAATCACAGCCGGCCTTCTCTGCACTTTTCTGCCAGTTTTGTAAATAGTTTCCCTTTTCTTTGTTGTTTTGTTTTGCTGAACAACGACACAACAGAAAAACCGTGTTAACTCTCTGGTAATGTTCATTTGGGAGTCACACAGACCAGAGGCCATAATAATCATACACTAATTTTATTTTGGTGATATGAATATACTATATTTAATTTCAGTAATGTTTTTTCCTTAATATTTAGCATTTTGAGTGTATTTCATGTAACCAATTAATATTCATATCTAAATTATGGACTATTTTCTGTAGGCTATAAAATGTAAAAAAAAAAAAATATGTAGCCTACATTTTTCAATTAATGCAGTACTTAAAGGGGTCATATAATGCTACATGCACTTTTACAAGTTGTTTGAACTGAAATGTGTTGGCAGTGCGTGTACATCAATCAAATCTGTATGTGTGTGAAAATATTCAGATGTAACCTCCTTTGTAATCATTAACATTTTCATAAGTAACTGTACATTTAGTTACATGTAACTAGTTACTCCTCAACACTGTGAATGAGTGTCCAGCTGTGTGTCGCTCTCAGTGGGAGGAGAATAAGTCAAAGCTCCCACAAAACACACCCTCTACCGGAGAACACATCCGCCGCCCGGTAATCACACACACACACACACACACACGCGCGCGGCTCCGGGAGCACCGGAGAAACACTTGCGACCGAGAGCTTTCCCAAAACAGCCGCTCCTGCTCAGAGTCCGGCCCGCGGGAGTCCGCGCTTCACGGTACCGACGCCGCCACGATGGACAAACTTTTCGCGTTCCTCTTCACCGCGATCGGCGTCCTGGTGTCCGCGAGAGCGCAGGTGTTTAAAGGTAAGAGCTGCTGCTTTTCCTCGTCGCGAGAGGGCTCCGTTAAACCGAGAGCGCGAGCGTCGCTTGTTTTGGAGTCTCGCGTAAAGTTTGATGGGCAGCGGAGGAACGCTAATGACGGGTTCCGTGCTCTGATTTAGAAACATCACCGCAAACCCCAAGCTTTGAGAGAGTCGCGTTGATGTTTGGATCATAGAAACAGACTTCAGTGAAAAGCACCTGTTTGTGTCCGGATCTCACTGTTTGCGCTCTTAAAATGATTTATGATAGTTCTTTAGAAACCTAAACGCAGATATAAACATTTTAATAGCCTACTCTTTAGAGAAATAGCTATTAGGCTATTTGATGATGCATTTAAGAGCGTGTGAGGGAATGCGAGCTCAGATGCGTTACTCTTTACGCATTTCTGTCTGAAACGCATTACACTCTTAAAAATAAAGCTGCTTCACAGTGATGCCATAGAAGAACCTTTTTGTCTAAATGGTTCCATAAAGAACCTTTAACAACTGAAGAACCTTTTTGTTTCACAAAAGGTTCTTTGTAACGAAAGAAGGTTCTTCAGATTATAAAAAGCTAAGAAAGAGATGGTTCGTTAACTGAATGGTTCTTTGTGCAACCAAAAATATGGCATCGCTGTGAAACACCTTTTAAGCAGCTTTATTTTTTAAGAGTGCAGTTCGTTAGAATGATTGATTTAGGCTATTAATGAATCTCTCGAACATACCAAAGACATTGCGCTGCTTCACTGAAGCTGTATAAGCTTCAGAACATTTGTGCATTGTGTGGATTTCTTTGGCGCTTATTCTGAGGCGGCACCTGTCAATCATACCTCTGTGTATACTGATATGCACGTGCATAAGTAAATCAGACGCCTGTGCATTGCATTTGCTCCCAGTGCATTGAAATGCCATGCATTCTCGTGCTGCTCAGAAACGGAGTCCTTTAATAAGCTCTAATTGTGTTTGCTCGTGACGGCAAATAGTCTGTTTTAAAGATTCAGAGCCCGTTGGACATATTTTGGATGCAACACAAGCCCAACAGTTCCAATGTAACTCCGGTTTGGTTCTCTTGTAGCCCGAAGGGATGCAAAACGGAGCTTAAAAGAGGTCGTTTTAGCTGTCTGAACAATAGATTTTCGTGTGTGTAACAGGGACATTAGTGAGGTTTAAATCGATATGTGTAAATGCATTGATAATGGTGCGTAATGCGTGTCACTTTGAGTAGGTTTTTGTTTTTTCCATTGCTATTTATATGGAATAATGACTAGTTGTTGTTTAAAGTTTAACTGCATTACTTTTTCATGAGGTTACATATCAATATTTACGATTTTGCGCAAATTCAGTGATATTACTTGAGTGTGCTGTGATTTTTAATTTTGATTAGTAATATGCATTGCTAAGAACTTCATTTGAACAACTTTAAAGATGATTTTCTCAATATTTAGATTTTTTTGCACCCTCAGATTCCAGATTTTCAAATAGTTGTATCTCAGCCAAATATTGTCCTATCCTAACAAACCATACATGATGTATAAATTCAATTTTAAAAAAAATTGACCCTTATGACTGGTTTTGTGCTCCAGGGTCACATATAAATATGTTCTAAGAACGTTCCCATTGAGCTATGAAAACGTTACTTCTCAGATTGTTCAAAACATTCAGTTTTCATAAAAAAATTTTTATTCTTGGTTATGTGAACGTTCCCATTAAGTTGTTAAAATGTTACTTCTCAGAACGTTCAAAACGTCCTTTTTTTTTACGTTTTACAAACGTTTATTCTTGGTTATGTGAATGTTCCCACTATGTTATAAAAATGTTACTTCTCAGAATATTCAAAATGTCCTTTTTAAAAAAAAATGTTGTTAAAACGTTTATTCTTGGTTATGTGAACGTTCCTATGGAGTTATGAAAACATTATATTCCTCGGTACATTTAAAACGTTCAGTTTAAAAAATGTTTTAAAAAAAAAAAAAGTTTATTCTTGGTTATGCAAACGTTCCCATCAAGTTATGAAAACGTTACTTTTCAGAACTTTTAAACCTTCAGTTTTTTAAAATTTATTTAAATACATTTATTTATGGTTATTTGAACTTTCCCGTTAAGTTATGAAAATACTTCTCAAAACGTTAAAAAAGGAAATTTTTTTGTTTGAAAAATGTTTATTCTTGGTTATGTGAATGTTAGAGAAAACATTAAGGGTTCGATTTTCAATTTTATAATTTTACAGACATTATCGAGACTTTTTAATGCTATCTGAACCAACTGAATTGACTAGTAGTAATGTTTAAAAAACGTTAGATGAACATCCAACTAAAATGTTTCAGAAAAACATTTTATGATGAGTAATAGTTTTTGTGCTAATGTTTTGATAACATTACTACAGACAAGATAACATTGCGCGAACATTCTATTATTATTACTGGAAGAACGTTTGTTCATAGCTTTGCCAGAACGTCCTGTTTTCTGAGACGCTGCCATGATTATCTGTCTAAAAACCTGTGGTTGTGTAATGTTTTATGAGTGATTTCTCCTCCGTGTGTGTGTGTTGTGTATGTGTGTGTGTGTGTGTGTGACTGAGTGAGTGTGTGTGACTGACTGAGTGTGTGTGTGTGAGTGTGTGTGAGTGAGTGAGTGAGTGTGTGTGTGTGACTGAGTGTGTGACTGAATGAGTGAGTGTGCGTGTGTGTGTGTGTGTGTGACTGTGCGTGTGCGTGTGAGTGTGTGTGTGTGTGAGTG